AGACTGCAATCTTCCCCAGGGAGAGGGGATGACTGGCAGTAGCCACTGAGGCAAAGTGGGGATAGAGGGTTGGGGGTTCCCCTGGGGGGGGAGACCCAGAGCGGGGTTACTGCCAGGGCAGAACCCCAAGGTAAAGGGCACCGAGGTCTGGGAGAGACACAAGGGGCCAGCGGCAAGCGAGACACCAGCCTGCAGAGGGCGCTCTGGGCTGTAAGAGCTAATTCCTGAGAAGACCAGCAGGAGATGCCGCGCCGGTGAGTCGTCACCCCGTGACACTCCCCTATCCCTATCCTTATCCTATTCTTTATCCTCATTGGGCTGGTGACAACCTTCAAATGAAGTTTTAAGATTCATCTTTACCTCACTTAATCTATGGACTCTGACCACAAATTCCATAGTATTCTTGGGCTAAGTGAGGTCTTTACTTCTGCCCTTCCTAGAGGGAAGACAGCATGTGCAGTAGCTGAGAGGGATGAGGTGTGGAACATGCTTTCAGAAGTCTTAAAAGAGCAACACTCCAATGTGGAAACTACAGAATCCGAAACACCAAAAAAGAAAATCAACCTTCTCCTGGTGGCATCTGACTTAGATAATGAACATGAACATGCACTGACTGGTCTGCACTGTTGTGCATCATTATCGGGCAGAACCTGTCATCAGCATGGACGCATGTCCTCTGGAACGGTGGTCAAAGCATGAAGGGACATATGAATCTTCAGCGCATCTGGCATGTAAATATCTTGCAACACCGGCTACAACAATGCCATGTGAATGCCTGTTCTCACTTTCAGGTGACATTGTAAATAAGAAGCGGGCAGCATTAACTCCTGCAAATGTAAACAATTTTTTTTATCTTACCAATTGCCTGAAGAAGAAGTAGGATTCAGTGGACTTGTAGGCTGTTATTGTTTAACAGCACGATTAATCGTGATGAATTTTTTTTAGTCGCTTGACAGCCCTAGCTATTAACATAATTTTATATGGCAATATAAATGCTTAACTCTATTTTGACATTTGTTGTCTGGTAATGTGGATTCACCAAGGACAAGTCATGCCTGACCTATCTGATTGCCTTCTATGATGAGATAACTGGCTCTGTGGATATCCAGAAAGCAGTTGATGTGATATATTTTGATTTTGGCAAAGCTTTTGATACGGTCTCCCACAGTATTCTTGCCAGCAAGTAAAAGAATTATGGATTAGATGAATGGATTATAAGGTGGATAGAAAGCTGGCTAGATTGTCGGGCTCAACGGGTAGTGATCAATGGCTCAATGTCTAGCAGGCAGCCGGTATCAAGTGAAGTGCCCCATGGGTTGGTCTTGGAGCCAGTTTTGTTCAACATCTTTATTAATTATCTGGATGAAGGGATGAATTGCACCCTCAGCAAGTTTGCAGATGACACTAAACTAGGAGGAGTGGTAGATACGCTGGAGGGTAGGGATAGGGTCCAGAGTGACCTAGACAAATTGGAGGATTGGGCCAAAAGAAATCTGATGAGTTTAACAAGGACAAGTGCAGAGTCCTGCACTTAGGAAGGGAGAATCCCATGCACCGCTACTGGCTGGGGACTGACTGGCTAAGCAGTAGTTCTGCAGAAAAGGACCTGGGGATTACAGTGGACGAGAAGCTGGATATGAATCAGCAGTGTGCCCTTGTTGCCAAGAAGGACAACGGCATATTGGGCTGTATTAGTAGGAGCATTGCCAGCAGATAGAGGGAACTGATTATTCCCCTCTATTCGGCACTGGTGAGGCCACACCTGGAGTATTGTGTCCAGTTTTGGTCCCCTCACTACAGAAGGGATGTAAACAAATTGGAGAGAGTCCAGCGGAGGGCAACGAAAATGATTTGGGGGTTGGGGCACACGACTTACAAGGAGAGGCTAAGGGAACTGGGCTTATTTAGTCTGCAGAAGAGAAGAGTGAAGGGGGATTTGATAGCAGCCTTCAACTACCTGAAGGGGGGTTTCAAAGAGGATGGAGTTAGGCTATTCTCAGTGGTGGCAAATGACAGAACAAGAAGCAATGGTTTCAAGTTGCAGTGGGGGAGGTATAGGTTGGCTATTAGGAAACACTATTTCACTAGGAGCGTGATGAAGCACTGGAATGGGTTACCTAGGGAGGTGGTGGAATCTCCATCCTTAGAGGTTTTTAAAGCCAGGCTTGATAAAGTCCTGGCTGGGATGATTTAGTTGGTGTTGGTCCTGCTTTGAGCAGGGGATTGGACTAGATGACCTCCTGAGGTCTCTTCCAACTGTAATATTCTGTGATTCTATGAATGTATTATTGATGAGAGCAAGAGTCTCTGAGATCTCCTCATTTAAAGATTATATCTGACCACAATTTTTGTAACAAGTAACGAGATAAAAAAGCTAAATTAACTGTCTTGTGTTTAGTTGCAGAAGTGTTGCAAATTGAAAAGGTAAATCTCTTGAAAATCTGCTACAGGGGAAAAATCTAGAAAGGCGAATTTCCCAAACTTACTCAAGTCTCAACTGCTAAAATTATTTCAACTGTCTCTGGCAGTTAACTGTCTCACTGATACCCTATGTTCTATTCAATCTGTTCAAAATTCCAATCTAATAATTTTCTATTATGAGGCTGGGATGCTGGGTACCTTAGTACATCATAAGAGAAGTTTGTTGGGGAACAATGATTAAAAGGCCCTAAAATATAGGTATCCCTCAAAATGCAACACAGGGAAAAACATTTTTAATTACTTGGCAGCGCTAGTGAAGAGCTACACTCCATGCTTCCAGGAAAGAGGCACAGAAAAAGCCTGAAGGTTTGGGGGTGGACTCAGCCTATTAATTTTTTTGAGTCGGGCACTTGGGCTTTCATTATACTTTGTCTCCATACTTCCTGGTAGATGGTGCTCTAACACCAGCTGTTCTGTTCTTCCAGCAAGAGGGGAGAAAAGTGAGATGCTCAACAAAATTCAGTTTAAGAATATATTTGGTGACTTCTTCAGTATCTATGAAACTGGGAGCTTTTTAAAACTAGATTCTTTATATTGGTTCATATTTATTGTTAAGTTCTTCAGGATAAACATCTTAACATCTCTAAATATCAGGAGATATGCTGTGTTTTATGTATCTTTTCTAAGACTGGAAACTGAAGTTAATGTTGAAAAAGTAACAGTACAACAAAGAACAATGTTACAGTTTTACAAACACAGACATCAGAAATCCAAGAAATTCTAGGTTAAGGTTAAATATAAAACAAAATAACTTTCAACAAATCCAGTGTTGTGAAGTATGGAAATTCCTAGTTAAAGTACTATGAACAACCTTAACGTTGCCCCATGCTCCCCTACACAAACATACATACACAGTTCAACCACCTAGCTCAGGGGTCAGCAACCTTTCAGAAGTGGTGTGCCAAGTCTTCATTTATTCACTCTAATTTAAGGTTTCACGTGCCAGTAATACATTTTAATGTTTTTAGAAGGTCTCTTTCTATAAGTCTATAATATATAACTGAACTATTGTTGTATGTAAAGTAAATAAGTTTTTAAAAATGTTTAAGGAGCTTCATTTAAAATTAAATTAAAATGCAGAGCCCCCTGGACCGGTGGCCAGGACCAGGGCAGTGTGGGTGTTAAAGGTGCAGCAACTCAGCCCTGCGGTGCCTCCTGCTGGTTGTCTCTGGGAATTAGCTCGTCCAGCCTCCAGAGCGCCCTCTGCAGGTTGGTGTCCCCTGCCACTTGGCCCCTGTGTCCCTCCCAGACCCGGTGTCCCATTATCTGGGGTGCTGCCCCTTGGCAGTAACCCCTTTGTCTCAGGGTCTCCCCTCCCCAGGGAGCCCCCACCCACAATCCCCACTTGTCTTAGTATAAGGCTACTGCCAGTCATTGTCTAGCTCCCGCGCCCTGGGGCAGACTGCAGTATCACCCTACTCATCACCGGCAAATTTGGGTTTGGACCTGCTGCCTTTGCCTACCCCGGGCTGCCCTCTGCAACCCCCAGTACCCGTTGGCCTTCTGCTAGGCCACAGCCTGGGACTTTTGAGGCTGGAGTCTCCCCAGCTCCTCTGCCTTTCCCCAGCCCTGCTCCACTCAGGTACTCTGCTCAGCTCCCTGCAGCCAGGTCTATCTCCCTCTACAGCTAGAGAGAGACTTCAGCCTAGCAGCCCCTTTATAGGGCCAGCTACGGCCTGATTGGGGCGTGGACCAGCTGCGGCTGTTTCCCCAATCAGCCTAGGGTTTTCTCTCTCAGCCACAGCCTTCTCCCCGGGATGTTTAAAACCTTTCAAGGCAGGAGCGGGTGACCACCCACTACAGGGTGCCACTGAAAATCAGCTCGCGTGCTGCCTTTGGTAGGCGTGCCATAGGTTGCCTACCTCTGACCTAGTTCAACACAGTCCACACTTAGTTCAACCATTATTCAGCAAAAAAGTTTGTATTGATGCTGAAAATAGAGCTGACTGAAACCTTTACAGTTCCTGAGCTGTGCAGAAACAGCCATGATGGTTATTCCAGAGTTTAGTTAGTCACTAGTGAACACGTCCAAAACTAAACCACCCAGTTCTCTCTAAATTAGTTCTATGTACTAGATCACATCAAGGGCTCTTAAGTCAAACAGGTTTCTAGGCCAACCTGTTCTTAAAATATAATGTGACAAAGATATGTCATTAACTTTTTGAAAATTATTGTAACATCTATTTTAAGTTCCATACTTGTCAGATTCACTGCAACAGTCTCATCAAAATTCCACTTTGGCTAAAGACCACAGATGCAAAATCTTAAATATAAACAACTTTTTTGAGAGAGAGACAGAGAGAGAGAGATTGTATCAGAGGGGGGAAAATCAGATTCAGAATGGAAAGCCTGCTTTTGTCTTAATTATGAAAAGACTAATCTCTCTTCTCACACACACACAAAACACTTTAGCACATGTGAGTAATGCATCCATCCCAAACTCATACCGATAAAACCTGACATACCACACCTTTTATAGTCTATTTGATCATATTGTACATGCACATATTGATGGCTACCTTTTTGCTAAGTCTTTGGTTTTCTTTTTCCATTTTCAGAATCTTTGAATTACTGCCTTCTACAGAACCCATTGCATTTTGTAGCTCTTCCACCATCTTCAGCAAACTTTGGTTTTCCATTTCCAGCTTCAGCAATCTACTTGATGTCAATTCATTCACTTCATGGCCAAGTGACTTTCGTGGCACTGTAAGATTTAAAAGAAATAGAGGTTACTTATCATTAACTCAAGATCTTTGAGGTGAGTCTGTGAGACTTGTGGGATAAAAAGGCCTGCACCATGATCCTCCAAAATCTTCTAGTCAGCATTGTTTGTTGGGGCCACTCAGACCTCTCTCCCCCACCTAAGAACAACTATGAAATTGTGGATGAAGGAGGACTGAAAAAAAGATTACTAACCTCTCTGTAACTGTTGTTTTTCGAGATGTGTTCCTCATGTCCATTCCACTTTAGGTGTGCACGTGCCACATGCACAGTTGCTGAAGATTTTTCCCTCAGTGGAATCTGTCAAACCGGCTCTAGTGCCCCCTGGTGCCATGTGCTCATGTGTTGGTATAAGGGTTCAGGCCAGCTCTGCCCCGTCTCAGTTCTTTCTGGCTGGCTAACTCTGACCAAGAGGCAGAAGGGTGAGTTGTGGAATGGACATGAGCAACACATCTCAAAGAACAACAGTTACAGAAAGGTTAGTAACCGTTTTTTCTTTGAGTGTTTACCCATGTCCATTCTATGTTAGGTGATGCCCAAGCAGTACCTTAGGAGATGGGCTCGGAGTTCATAGACATGTAGATTGCAACACTGCTCTATCAAACCTGACATCATCTCTAGCCTTCTGGGTGACGGTGTAGTGGTATGAAAAAGTATGCACCCACGATCAAGTCACTCCTCTACAAATATCCTAGATTGAGACCTGGGCCAGAAACGCTGCTGAGGAAGCTTGAGCTCTTGTCGAGTGGGTGGTCAAGAGGGCAGGAGGTGGGGCACCCTCCTGCTCACAGAATGTGCAAATGCAGGAAGTGATCCAAGATGAAATTCTTTGGACCAAAATTGGCAGGCTTTTCATCCTGTCTGCTACTGTCACAAAGAGTTGCATAGACTTACAGAACGGTTTGGTCCTTTCTATATAGAAAACCAGGGCCCGCCTAACATCCAGCATGTGGAAATGCTGCTCCTCTCTATTTGTGAGAAGTCTGGGGAAGAATACTTGCAAGAAAATAGTAATCAGGTTATGAAACTTCGGGAGGAATGCAGGGTGGTGGTGAAGTTGTACCTTGTCCTTAAAGAACACTGTATAAGGGGGTTCTGACGTAAGGACCCTGATCTCTGACACCCTCCTGGCCGAGGTAATTGCTACCAGGAAGGCAACCTTCCAAAAGAAGTACATCAAGGGGCATGATGCCAGTGGCTCAAAGGGAGAAGCCTGCGAGTCTTGACAGGACCAGGTTTAGGTCCCATGGTGGAATGGATTCACGAATCTGAGGGTATAGTCCCTCTAAGCCCTTGAGGAAGTGAATGGACATTTTGTGAGGAAAAAACGACCTACCATCCACCAAAGGGTGGAAGATGGAAATGTCCACTAGGAGTACCTTAATCAACTAAATGGCTAGGCCCTGCTGTTTCAGATTAAGCAGATACTCCAGCATAGACTGGAGAGGTGACCTACCGGGTGACAGGCCACATGGAGAAACACTTCTACTTGGCAAGGTAAATCACTCTAGTAGATCGTTTCCTACTACATAGCAATACCTGGTGGACTTGCTCCGAACAGGCCAGCCCCACTGCATTTAACCATGGAGCTTCCATGCGGTCAGGTGGAGGGCCTTGAGGTTTGGGTGGAGAATCAGCGGTGATTTTGGGAGATCAGGTATGAGAGGGGAGGGAGCGGCATTGGGTTCACTATAGGTCCAATAACATGCCAAACCAGTGCTGGCATGGCCATGCTGGGACTATAAAAATAAAAGATGGTTACCTTTCGTAACTGTTGTTCTTCGAGATGTGTTGCTCATGTCCATTCCATTGTAGATGTGTGTGCTCACCACATGCACCGGTTCTGGAAGTTTTTCCCTCAGTGGTAGCCATAGGGGACCAACTCTGGTGCCCTCTGGAATGGCGCGCGTATGCATCAGTATAACGGGCACTGCCGGCTCCCCCCTCCCTCAGTTCCTTCTTGCTGGAACTCCAACATAGGGGAAGGAGGGTGGGTCCTGGAATGGACATGAGCAACACATCTCGAAGAACAACAGCTACGAAAGGTAACCATCTTTTCTTCTTTGAGTGCTTGCTCATGTCCATTCCATTGTAGGTGACTCCCAAGCAGTACCATCGGAGGCGAGTAGGAGTTCATGGACATATTGACTGCAACACAGCTCTGCCAAATCCAGTGTCATCTCTGGCTTGCTTGGTGATGGTGTAGTGCGCTGTGAATGTGTGTACCGAAGACCATGTTGCGGCCCTGCAGATGTCCTGGATAGGGACGTGCACCAGGAAGGCAGCTGAAGACGAGTGAGTCTAGTCGAATGAGCCTTCACTATTGGTAGAGACACAGCCTGCACCAACTCATAACAAGCATGGATGCTGCTTGTGATCCAATTCGAAATCCTCTGAGGACACCAGAAGGCCCTTCATCCTGTCAGCTATCGCGATAGAGAGCTTGGTGCGCTCCAGGTAGAATGCCAGGGTGCGCCTGACATATAGAGTGTGCAGCAAATTCTCCTCATTGCTCGTGTGAGGCTTTGGACAGAACGCTGGGAGGAAGATATAGAATCATAGAAGATTAGGGTTGGAAGAGACCTCAGGAGGTCATCTAGTCCACCCCCTGCTCAAAGCAGGACCAATCCCAACTAAATCATCCCAGCAAAGGCTTTGTCAAGCCGGGCCTTAAAAACCTCTAAGAATAGAGATTCCACCACCTCCTTAGGTAACCCATGCCAGTGCTTTGCCATCCTCCTAGAATAGTTTTTCCTAATATCCAACCTAGACCTCCCCCACTGCAACATGAGACCATTTCCCCTTGTTCTGTCATCTGCCACCACTGAGAACAGTCTAGATCAGGCCTGCACAACTCGTAAAGCGGCGAGGGCCATATTACTCCAAAGAAAACAGCTGAGGGCCGAAACCCCCTGGCCCTGCCGAAACTCCCCCCCCCCAGCGCCACCCAGACCCCCCGAAACACAACACCCCGCCCCGCGGAAACAAACCCTCCTTCCACAGAAGGGGCGGAGGGATAGCTCAGTGGTTTGAGCATTGGGCTGCTATACCCAGGGTTGTGAGTTTAATCCTTGAGGGGGCCACTTAGGGATCTGGGGCAAAAATCAGTCCTTGGTCCTGCTAGTGAAGGCAGGGGGCTGGACTCGATGACCTTTCAAGGTCCCTTCCAGTTCTAGGAGATAGGATATCTTCATTAATTTAAAAAACAGCGATATTGAACCTTTGTAATATGTTATAGTGGGCTCCTAAGGTAGTATAATTAAGGTAAAAGAAAAATGTCTTTTTGCTAGAAGTAGAATAAGATCTCCCCCCCACTTTGTAATCAATTGCCCTGTTGAATGAATGAGGTGTGAATGAGGGAGGCATGGAAGGCAGCACCTACAGACAGCTGCAACCCTTGGAGAGGGGATGGGAGCCAGACCAGATCAGTAGACCAGGTCAGCCATCAAGTCACCGCTTGCCTCCTCAGCCCCGCTTCCCCACCGCCGGCTCACCTGCACCCCCGCCACTGCCCGCCCGCTCGCCTCCTCAGCCCCCACACCCTCGGCTTGCCTACTCACCCCGCTCCCTCACCCACCGCTTGCCTACTCACCCCCCGAGGGCCGCACAGTGAGCCCACCTACTCACCCCCCGCAGGCCGCAGAGTGAGCCCACCCAGGCCACATGCGGCCCCCGGGCCGCATGTTGTGCAGGCCTGGTCTACATCCATCCTCTTTGGAACCCCCCTCAGGTAATTGAAGGCTGCTATCAAACCCCCAGTCACTTATCTCTTTTGCAGACTAAATAAGCCCAGTTCCCTCAGCCTCTCCTCGTAAGTCATGTGCCCCAACCCCCTAATCATTTTCATTGCCCTTCGCTGGACTCTCCCCAATTTCTCCACATCCTTTCTGTAGTGGAGGGGCCCAAAATTGGACGCAATACTTCATGTGGCCTCACCAGTGCCAAAGAGGGGAATAATCATTTCCCTCTATCTGCTGGCAATGATCCTACTAATGCAGCCCAATATGCTGTTAGGCTTCTTGGCAACGAGGGCACACTGTTGACTCATATCCAGCTTCTCATCCACTGTAATTCCCAGGTCCTTTTCTGGGGAACTGTTTCTTAGACAGTCGGTCCCCAGCCTGTAGTAGTGCGTGGGTTTCTTCCGTCCTAAGTGCAGAACTCTGCACTTGTCCTTGTTGAACCTCATCAGATTTCTTTTGGCCCATTCCTCCAATTTGTCTAGGTCACTCTGGACCCTAACCCTACCCTCCAGCGTATCTACCTCTCCTGCCAGCTTAGTGTCACCTGCGAACTTGCTGAGAGTGCAATCCATCCCATCCTCCAGATCATTAATGAAGATGTTGAACAAAACCGGCTCCAGGACTGACCCCAGGACACTCTGCTTGATACCAGCTGCCAACCACAAATCGAGCAGTTGATCACTACCCATTGAGCCTGACCATCTAGCCAGCTTTCTATCCACCTTACAGTCCATTCATCCAATCCATATTTCTTTAATTTGCTGGTAGGAACACTGTGGGAAACCATATCAAAAGCTTTGCTAAAGTCAAGGTATATCATGTCCACCGCTTTCCCGATATCCACAGAGCCAGTTATCTCATCATAGAAGGCAATCAAGTTGGTCAGGCATGACTTGCCCTTGGTGAATCCATGATGACTGTTCCTGATCACCTTCCTCTCCTCCAAGTGTTTCAAAACGGATTTCTTGAGGACCCGGGGACTGAGGTGAGGCTGACAGATCTGTAGTTCCACGGATTCTCCTTATACCCTTTTTTAAAGATGGGCACTATATTTGCCATATATAAGATATCCTGGTTGACATGGAAATGCGACACCACCTTTGGCAGGAAGGCTGGATGGGTCCACAGTTGTCCTTGTAAAATACCGTGTACGGGGGCTCCGAAGTGAGGGCTTTAAGTTCAGAGACACATCTCGCCAAGGTAATAGCTACAAGGAATGCGACCTTCCACAACAAGTGGG